TAGTTTCAATGTTTTCTCTGCTTTTTTCTTTTTAGTTGCTGTTCAAAATCTCCTCTTGAAGTAGATAACAATAAGGTAGTTGGTTCCTAGTACAAGCTGTGTATATATGAACACACTCTTCTCAGCTCATGTATCAATTACCAAAGCGTCATTCTGCATGACTTTAAAGAAGTAGTGGGCATATGTACAGTCCAGAAGTCAGCCGGCCGACAAAATCCCATAATATGATGCCGTTAATCTACTGTTTTTGAAACCAAAAACATTTTTCCTAAATGGGAGGAAATCATACATACCAGCTCATTTTTAACGCTGAGATTCCCTCATGTTGTAAGAGTTTTAGGAAATTAGACAGAAGAAAAAATTAAAGTTTTGACAGCTTTAGTGTTTCTCATATACTTTTGGTGTTTTGATTCATTTAATTCCCAATAAAAGATTATTATTGTCATGCTACTGTCTTGAATGATTTACTGTTTTATTAAAACAGGTAGTAGGGAACAGAAGAATAGAAAAGCCTGTTTTAAATGACAATCTGAAGGAACTTAATCTAACTGAGGATTGTTAAATGACCATCAGAAGCAATATTCAGAAACAATTTCTTTGTTCATTCAGCCATTGCACAAACATAAATGGAATGTCAGATGCTGGGAATCCAAAGATTAATAATGCATAGTCCCTGCTTACAGTCATCTTATGGCTGAACTGGGTGTATAAACAAATAATTGCCACACAGTGTGATAGTTTCAAACTAACAGATATATGTCCTAAGTGCGTGGTGACATAATGAAGGGAAGGTTCAGTGTTGCAGTATCTGAGGGGATCCAGTAAACAGAAACACTATCTCCCACCTGAGTTCTGAATAATTTTTTTTTTTTTTTAAAGAGAGACAGATGGAAGCCAAAATACCAGGTTCCTTACTAATAGAGTCCATATTGGAGGGCCTGGCTTTGGGAACTTTGCCAGATGGTCTTGCTAATAAAAAAGCCAGTTATCATCAAGTTGATTCTGACTCATGGCAACCCCATGTGTGTCAGAGTAGAACTGTGCTCCAGGGGGGTTTCAACGGCTGATTTTCACAAGTCGGTCACCAGGCTTTTCTTCTGAGGCACCTCTGGGTAAAACTGAAAGTCCAACCTTTTGATTAGCAACCAAGTGCATTAACTGTTTGCATCACCTAGGAATTCTGTTTTGACAATTACTACAAATTAAATAGAATAGTAAGGATAATAAAACTCATTTACCATTCTGAAGATAGAGCTTTTGCTTCCCCAATGAGAATTTGCTTGTAATACTGAGCAACACCAAAGAGATGACGTTTTAATATATATTCTAATGTAATATTCCATTACAAGGGCATACGATATAATATTATATTGGTACATACATTAAAACTTCATGTTAGTTAAATGGGGAACTGAACTCCTGTTTGTTAACATTCAGAATTTTGCATGCAGACCTCTTTCTTTAGGGTCCTCTATAATCCATTCTCTCTCTATATTCGATACATGGCAAATATTAAGTTTTGAGAAACGTTAGTTACATTCATGAATATAACTAGTTACATTCATGATCCCTGATGAACACATATCAAAAACTTCTTGATTCTTGTGGAAATCTATCAGTGACTTTGGACTCTACCAGTCTCTGGCATAATAACAGAAATTAGAGTTTTAATAGACTGCGTGCAAGCATGAAATCCCAGAGTTGGACAGAAATTTTCTGTGCTCATTTGGAACTTGGCTCTGACTATGATTTCTCTGTCACAGATTTTGGGGTAGAGAGAGCTCCCACAGGGAAAGCAGAGTGCAATGACATGGAAACTGAATAGAACCTTGGCTAGGTTAGGAGTCATTGCTATTTTAGTCATTTCCAGATGTCTGCTATTGTAGTTTTAAGGGGAGGGGAAAGATAGGGAGTGTGACTTACCCACTGGGTGGAAATGGAGGGTGATCCTCTTCTAAGCCTTTCAACTCATTTTTAAAGCCACCCTTCAATACAGTACTAAGATGGACTTGATAAAGCTTTTGTAAATTATACTCTTTAGGAGTACTTCTTTCATTTAAATACTTAACTGTATATGTAGCAAATATACAAACTGAGCAAGTCTTTCTGAGAGAATTAGAGTCCCAGGAAAAGCAACACCCTTACCTCCTTCAGTTGTGATTTAATATTTATGAAATCCCAGCTAGTGAGCATATGTTTAATGGTACATACATCCGGTTAGCTAGCTGCCCCAGTAGCTATCGTGTTAACCTAACAAGCTCACCAGATACTTACTATATATCTACTTTCTCCTTCATGTTGTTTTTGGGTTATTTTTTATCCCAATGTTGTCATCATGAATTATAAAGCAAGATGTCAAGTTGTAATATTTATGGATGTGGAGATGAAGCCCTCTGAAATATTTTCAAGGGAGACATCTGTGATCCTTTCCAAGTGTCTCTGGTGCAACCAGGAACCAATCCAGAGGTACAGGTCAAATGTGCATGCTGGATTGGTAAAATTTATGTTCCTTGTTTTTCTGAAAAGGTATGGAACTAGCATAATACAAATATAGGCAATGGAAAACGCTAGAGAAGCAATATCACACAGTGGTTAAGTATATGGGATTTGAATTAGACTGAGCCAGTTCAAGTTCAGACTCTGTCACTTACTAGCTTCCTGAACTTGAACACATTAATCTTTCTAAGGCTCAATTTCTTCATCTATAAAATGGGTATAACAATAGTAGCTTTTGGTTCTTTGTGTGGGGGGGGGAGAAGGAGGGGGACGGTGGTGCATAATAGATAACAACTCCTCCTATTCAACCAATTTTTGAGCCAATCAGAAATAAGACAAAGGATAAGATAGTTGGAGGTCAACATGTCATCTTCAGTACTGTAAAAACTGATGTTAAAGGATGTGGTATCTCTCTATGGGCAAATGGATATTAAATCAGGCAAGAGATCTGTAAGACAGGTAGGCCCACCTGAAGGTCCAAACAGGGTAGAACAAGAATGAATTTAAAATATCTAGGAAGATGCAGAGACCTTAACTATATGAACGTAAAACAAGAAGACATCATGGAACTGAATGTTGGGAAATCCTGTCAATAAGTATTCTGCTGGCATGATTTCTGGGTCTTGGGCAGCTGGCCAATGCATGACTATTTGTTATCTTGGACATAAAATTGGCCTACCTGCTCCCTGTATTTGAGGGATCCCCCCCCCCACTTTCTTGAACTGAAAATTCAGATACAGCCAGGTGTAATGAAGAGAAGTGTAGTGCTTCAGTTTTTACCTAAAACTCAAACCAAAACCAAACTCACTGCCGTGGAGTCAGATCCAACTCATAGCAACCTCTCTTTGGGTTTCCAAGGCAGTATCACTGTGGAAATAGATTGCCCAAACTTCCTTCCAAGAATTGGCTGGTGGGTTTGAACTGCCAGCCTTCTGGTTAGTGGTCAAATGCCTTAGGCACTATGCCACCAGAGCTCCCAGTTTCTACCTACACCCCTCTTATCCCATTCCATCTCTAGTTAAGCTCAGGACAATCTTTGAGATTTTCTGCAGATCTTTCCAGCTAGTTTTTATAGAATCTTAAAAATAATTTTTTCCCGAATTTGAAAACAAGTTTCCCTCCCCCACACACAAGGGTTCCATTGGTTTCTGAATTGAATGAGGCATGAAATTTAAGGCAGTTCTCCAAGTTACTTCTTTTTATTCTTCCTCTGGGACTTAGCATCCAGGCATTTCCTTCTCTTCCTCCTTCTACTTCTTCCTTGCCTTTTCCTCACTCCCAATCTTCTTTATCCTGCTTTTTTTCAGTAGTGGGCTTCAAAGTCCCTGGTTTGGTATGAATGATATTAAAAGCAACCAATTAGACTTCTTAAGACTTCAGGGTAACTCACTTGATCACAAGAGGAAGCCCCAGATTGGCAAGTTATTATCTTCTCATTTCAGATAGCTTCATGATTTTAATTTATTGCCAAAGAGAGGATGTCAGAGAGAAGATGGGCATGTGGATATGTAGTAATATGGAAATAAGGCTTCAACACTGAGAGTGAAAAATACATTCAATGGAGAAAGATAAAAAGATGAACATTGTAAAGAGAGCAACATCAGAATATGCCCATGTCCTGCATATATAGAGGGGGTTACTGAGGTGACTTTGGGAGATCGTAATTCCAACGCTGGCAGATAATTTTTAGGAAGAACACTTAATGCAGAGATAAACATGATGGTTATGGGAGAATGTCGTAATAGGCTTGAGGAATAGAAGGTTGTGCAGATTGTCTCCAATGTCACTTCACCTGCACCTCATTTTTACTAAGTGTGTTCAGAGGCTCAGCCTCTGTGGTTTAAGGAGAACAGATACAATAAGTGATCTCTGGTGGTGCAGTGGTTAAAACTCTCAACTGCCAACCAAATGATCAGTGGTTCAAACCTGCCAGCTGTCTGTGGGAGAAAGATGTGGCAGTCTGGTTCTGTAAAGATTTTCAGCCTTGGAAACCCTGTGGGACAGTTCTACTCTATCCTATAGGATCACCATAAGTTTGAGTTGAACTGATGACTGTGGGTTTGGCATTTTTGATTTGATGTAATTATGGCTCAGGTGATTGGAAATAGAAACTTACCACAACACTTTGAAGAAATATGTTTCAGATTCTCCTCCCCAATAGTAAGCAAACTATTAAAATTGAAAATCTAATGACACCAAGGAGTGTGTTTTGATGTTTAAATCAATGGACCTTTCACAGTAATGACTCCACAGCTGAGCAAGCCTATATTTGGTTAAAAATGTGGTCTACTTAGAAGTCACTGAATTTCAAATAAACCAAAAATCTGCCAATCAACGTGGCAGCATAACATTCGTTCTACGGAGCAAAACAATAGGGCTCATGTCAAAGCCATCACCCAAGTTTGAAAATTAATGTCATTTTGTTATTCCTCTTAAAAGTTTATTTATTTATTTTTAATAGCTCTTCAGAGCATCTGCTAACTGACTTCGTTGTTGGATTTCAGGGCTTGGCACAGTATTCCGTTCTCTTCTATGGCTATTATAACAATCAACGAACAATTGGATGGATGAATTTCAGGTTGCCACTCTCCTATTTTCTGGTGGGCATTATGTGCATTGGATATAGCTTTCTGGTTGTCCTCAAAGCGTAAGTTTCATTTGTCTCTTGAGAAGCAAACAATAATTTCCATAATCAAGCAAGGGAATTAATTTGAGAACTGAATATAGTTTTGCTGGTATTGTATGTCTAGAGGGTGCAGCATGTGTAAGAAATGAAATATAGCTTTAATACTCACAGTAATGTCAGACTATTACATCCTCAAGATAAAAGGATTGAACACAAGCACAAGCCTTGGTTCATCTCACTGGGTCAGACTGATGATTGCACGCCTAGCCTGTGTTTAAATATATTAAAAACATGCCTTTTTGTCTCCAAGGTGTGAATGAATGTTGCCACAAGGCAGTGAAACAGCCGCTGGAATGGTGCAGAGAGCTTTTTAACTTGCAGAATCAGCTCAATAGGCAGACTCTGTTGCTATCTGTTCATTTTTTAAAAACCCAGAATAATTGCTCATCCAAAAAATTTCAGCTGCATAATACAGCAAAACAAATGGCCCCCAATGAGACAGTCATGATCAACTGTATAATCATGGTTTGTTTTGGAAAAGAATTTATTAGAGCATGGGGAAGGGTTTCATTGGGGAAGCAATGAAACGGCAGTCCGTTTTTTGTTTTTGTTTTTTTTCTTTTTCCTTGCCTGAAATATACTTGTAACACCCTGCTTGAAGATGCTGCAGAAAGCTAGCACAGTCATTTTGGGATGGGGATGTGAATAATTTATTGTGTAGCCAATTTTCTGAACTAGTTTAGCAGAAGAGTGGAAACATCTCAGTTAACGTCTGTCATCCTTTTATTTGGCTGTGTGCATGTGAATCAGCCCTTTGCCTTGTTGGCGAGAAGGTCCTCTGCCCGAGGGAACAGGAGAGATGAAGCACACAGTCACCCTTAGCACGGGCTCTCTGGAATTGTCTGTGACGTGCTTTGTGTCCTGTCCCTGCCGGACTTACTGGTTCTTCTGAAGAAAGCTGTTATGTTTAGTTTTTAAGCCCTTTTAGGATTTGGAAACAGCCTCAATGGGGACTCTACATCCAAGACATATATCTACCTGTTCAAACGGAATTAAAAAAAAACCAAAAAACTCACTGCTGTTGAGTCAGATCCTAGTCATAGTGACCCCTCCTTGGGTTTCTGAGATGGTTTCACTATGGAAATAGATTGTCCCACCTTCCTTCCGAGGAGTGGCTGGTGGGTTTGAACCGCCAACCTTCTGGTTAGTAGTCAAATCCCTTAAGCACTACTGATGACATACTACCATATTCCCAAAATTAACAACACTTTTCAGTCTTTTGCGCATATCAGTTTGGCAGGATTCAAGTCAAGAATGCCGTTTATATTAACGAGGACTGTGACTATCATTTCTGTGTTGATCCTTTAGTCTCCATGGTCACTGGAAAAGATTGGTTTGTTATGTTCAGTTACTCAGCTTTTTCAGTGATTCTGCAGAGACAGTATAACCTAGTGGTGGAGAGTGAGAGCTCTTGAGTCTTTCCTGCCTGGGTTCAAATCCTAGCTCCACTTCTGCCATATAACCTTAGACAAATTGTTTTACTGCACTATTCTGTTCCTCGTGTTTAATGGAGGTATTACATAAATATAAGCATGGTTGGGAGCTCTGGTGGCATAGTGCCTAAGGCATTTGACTGCTAACCAGAAGACTGGTGGTTCAAACCCACCAGCCACTCCTTGGAAGGAAGATTGGGTGCTCTACTTCCGTAGTGATACTGCCTCAGAAACCCAAGGAGAAGGGGTCGCTATGAGTCAGATCCAACTCTACGGCAGTGAGTTGAGTTAGTGAGGATGAAATGAGTTAGCACATACAAAGCCCTTAGAATGTGCCTGGAACATCAAATGACAAATAGTGATTGTTTATTTTGGGGGATTTTAATTCATAGTCTTATTAAAGAACCAAACAAAGTAAGCATGGTAAAGATTGGGACCATATAATAGCCCCCAAAGGCAGGGCAGACCCATTCGGTCATGTAGTTGAACGTTAATAGTTTTTATGTCTATTAGAAAAATTTTTCTGGCAAATGAATTTGAAGTATCTAGAACAGTATTGTGCAAATTATAAGGCAAGTCACACGTAAAATTTAACATTTTCTAGTTGTTGTTGTTGTTGTTGTTAGGTGCTGTCAAGTTGGACCCGACTCATAGCGACCCCTCCTTGGATTTCTGAGGTAGTATCACTACAGAAGTAGATTGCCCAACCTTCCTTCTGAGGAGTGGCTGGTGGGTTTGAACTGCCAGCCTTCTGGTTAGCAATCAAGTGCCTTAGGCACTATGCTACCAGAGTTCCTTTTTCTAGTTGTTGTTGTTGTTGTTATGTGCCGTCGAGTCGGCCCCGACTCATAGCGACCCCTCCTTGGGTTTCCGAGGCAGTAGCAATGTTTAAAAAGAAAAAGGTGAAATTTATTTTAATATTATATTTTACTCAACTCAATACATTATATTATCATTTTAACTTATAATTAATATAAAAATTATTGAGAGATTTTCTTTCTTTTTTTGTATCAAGTCTTTGAAATGTGGTGTGTATTTTATACTTCTAATACATCTCAATTTGAAGTATGCACATTACAAGTAGTCAATAACTACATGTGGCTAGAAGTGGTGACTTTTTTGAATTTATTCAAAGATGCCGTTTAGGATAGCTGCAAGGCACTAACTCCACACTTTGGATGAACTCCACACTTTTGCCTTCAGAGTTACTCATGATGCCAACCAAAGCAGCTTGGATGTAGTCCCTTACTTTTGAGTACTCATTGTCTGATTGACAACTGGCTTAAATTCATTGATATTTCAAAAGCACGATATGACTCCCATCTTCATCCCCTGGCCATTTCTTTGTACTGTGCTTCTCTTTTGTAGGCCAATTTGCTCCTTCCACCAAACAACATACTTTGTTGTATACTTGGTTGAATATTCTTTTTTGGTAGATGGGAAAATGGAAGTTCAGCAGAGTTGGATGGTTTGACTGAGCTCCAATAGCCAGTAAATTGCAGAACAGATCCTGGAAAACATTCTTTAGTTCACGTACAAATCTCATCTCTCATCAGAATGGATCTGTGATGATGACGGCAAGGACCTGCCTCTATTTTGACCTTGGTGGCCATTCAATTTAATATTAAAGTTTTCCTCTTCTATTGCCAAATTCCTTTGGAGTTATATGGCCTTGAAATAATTTCTGTGGTCAACAATTTTGTGAAAAACAAATTAAATCTATCACAACAATGTTTTTGTCTTACAAAACATTTATATATTCTATTATATTAAATCATGGACAATCTCAGATAACGTTTCTAAATAAATGAAATTTTATTTTTTTTCCCTTGAAAAAATCCTAGACTAGTAAATAGCATCACAATAAATGGGGAAAAGATTGAAGTTGTCAAAGACTTTCATGTCCCTGAGTGGTGCAGATAGTTTGTGTTCAGCTGCTGACTAAAAGCTTCGTGGTTCAAATCCACCCACCAGGCCAAAGCAAGAAAGGCTTTGATTCTGCTTCCGCAAGATTGTCGTTAGGTCCCATCAAGTTGATTTCAACTAATAACAACCCCATATGAGAGAGTGAAACTCCCCATAGGGTTTCCTTGGCTGTTATCTTTATGGAAGCAAATCACCATGTCTTACTCTAACAGAGTTGCTGGGTGAGTTGAAACTGCCAACATTTCAGCACTTACCGTTGTTCTGCTGTAAGATTATAGCCACTGAAAACCTTATGGAACACATTTCTACTCTGACACACATGCAACCACCATGAGTTGGAATTGACTTGATGACAATGCACTAGCTAATTTTTCAGAGGCTCTATTTCCTTTTCACTTCTTTTGTGAACAGCTAACAGATAGCTGTTATCTACTTAATACCATGCCTTCAAAGTCTTCCATGTGTCTTGATATCTTTGCATGATAATCTTAACCTCAAAATTGTTTCTCTTTCTTCCTCCCAAATGAATATTTCTTTGCTGCAGAAATCTCCCCTAGTTAGCTGTTTTAGAGAAATGCATCAGGTTCTCTCATAGGCCACAATCTAGTGTTTTACTTCTGAGAGTTATTTTCACTGGAGAGTATGATGTTTGATGTTTTTAAGGATGGATTTCAGCCTGACAGGCAAGCTATGGAAGGATCAGGAAGGCTGGCCTACAGGGCAGGAAGTTTCATAAATTCCACAAAGCTATGGTTGTATGCTCTTCTTCAAACTACAGTTCACTTTATTTCAAATTCCAGGATTTTCTGCACCAAGCAGAAAAGCAGTGAAGTATGAGAGACTTAATGGCACCATTTTCTAGTCTTCCATTTCATATTACTGTTTAATGAGCTATATCTAATATTATAATATTCAATGTGAAAAATTATTCTTACTGCAAGTATGAATTGGAGGTAGTAAATAGTCCAAGATCAATTGCAACCATTTGCAATGTGAGATGGCATTGTCAAAATCTATCATAATGACAAGGATAGAATTAAAGAGCAATAGTGTAACAAGCATTTGCTATGTATTGTGTCATGGGTAAAGCTATTTGTGCTGTATGTATTTATTTGGTGAGGCTCTTTTCAGGATTTTTTTTACTTCCAGAATCACAATTCATTTGCTTATTCATTAATTTAATAAACATTTATTGAGTACCTATTCTCAGTACCCTAGGGGGTTATCTACTGAACAAACTTAAGTCCCTGCCCTCGTGGTGCTCAGTTGGGGAAACAGGGTAGACGAAGAACAACCAGTGGATTATGGCCAATATACTCTGAATTTATATTTTTGTGAGGTTATCCTTTGCAGTCAACTTTAGTTTCTTCTTTCTCTAGAATGTGCTACATGTTGTTCAATATATCCCTCACTATAATTTTCTTTTCCTTGTGTAGTAGTCTTACCCTGTGAGTTTCTAGAGAGATGAGTGCTACTTTTCTCTCAATCACTTTCCTATTTCTTTATGTCAGCAAAAGGTATATTATAGTGACCTTGTTGGCTTAAAAGGAGCCCTGGTGGGACTGAGATTAAAGCACTCAGCTGCCGATTGAAAGTCAGGGATTGAACTCATCATCTGCTCTATGGGAAAAAGATGTGATTGTCTGCTTATGTAAAGATGTACCACCTTGGAAACACTATTGTTGTGGTTGTTGTTAGGTGCAGTTGAGTCATCTCCAACTCATAGTGACCCTATGTACAACAGAACAAAACTCTGCCTAGTTCAGTGCCAGCCTCAAGATCCTTGCTATACCTGACCCCATCGTTGCAACCACTGTGTCAATGCACCTTGTTGAAGACCTTCGCCTTTCTTGTTGACCCTCCACTTTACCAAGCATGACATCCTTCTCCAGGGAATGGTCTCTTCTGACAGCATGACCTAAGTAGATGAGTTGAAGTCTGGCCAATTCTCGCTTCCAAGTACCATTCCAGCTACACTTCTTCCAGGACAGATTTGTTAGTTCTTTCAGCAGTCCATGGTACTTTCAGTATTCTTCACCAACATCACAACTCAAAAACATCAACTCTTCTTCAGTCTTCCTTATTCATTGTCCAGCTCTCCTATGAGGTGATGGAAAATACCATGGCTTGGGTTAGGCACACCTTAGTCTTCGAGGAGACATCTTTGCTCTTCATCACTTGAAAGAGGTCTTTTGCAGCAGATTTGCCTGATGCAATACATCTTCTGATGTCTTGATTGCTGCTTCCATTGGTGTTGATTGCAGAATCAAAGTCTTTGACAACTTCAATCTTTTCCCCATTTATTGTGATACTGTTTATTGGTCTAGTTGTAAGGGTTTTTTTTTTTTTTTTTTTTTTTATTGAGGTGTAATCCATACTGAAGACTGTAGTCTTCAGTCTTCATCAGTGAGTGCTTCAAGTCATCCTCACTTTCAGCAAGAATATCGCAGGTGGTTAATGAGTCTTCCTCCAATCCTGATGCCATATTCTTATGGTGTCTTAGATTGGATAATGGAGTGGAGATTAAATAAATGAACAAAAGCTTACCTTTGTCATATCTCTGTTTTGTACTGCTGGATGTTGTTGTTATTTTTGTTATGTGCCGTCGAGTTGGACCCGACCCACAGCTGCCCCTCCTTGGATTTCTGAGGCAGTATCACTACAGAAGTAGATTCCTCCATCTTCCTTCTGAGGAGTGGCTGGTGGGTTTGAACCGCCAGCCTTCTGGTTAACAGTCAAGTGCCTTAGCCACTATGCTACCAGAGCTCCCTGGTGGATAAAGTCCAGTAAGTCACTGCATGTCTTTTAGTCTCAGTCTCTTCGCCTGTAAAAAGAGATTAAGATTAGCATGACCTCTTGCCAAATTTTTGAAGAGGATAAATATGAGAATACAATGTAAACACCATTTGCAAAAAGCAAAATATTAGACCAAGGTTAGGGATTATTATTTCTGGTTATTTCTCATAATGTATTAGTCCACAGGGAGCTCTGGTGGCATAGTGCCTAAGGCATGTGACTGCTAACCAGAAGGTTGGCCATTCAAATCCACCAACCACTCCTCAGAAGGAAAATTGGGCAATCTACTTCTGTAGAGATACTGCCTCAGAAACCCAAGAAGGAAGGGGTTGCTAATAGTCAGAACCAACTCGACTGCAGAGATTTTTTTTTTTTTTTTTAAGGAGTGGGGCTAATGGTGAGGGAATTTAGATGACCAGAGAGGTACCTGCCAACCTATAATGTCAGCTTTATGTCACTGTAACCCTTTCTTTTTTGGTTCCATATCACTCTAAAATTAAAAACAAAAACACAAAACCATATGTGGATATATTATAATAGGTCACATGATATTTCAATTTTGCTGTTTATGATGGTAGTGGAAAAAAAGAAGAATACGTGGAATATAGATTTCTAACTACTGACATAAATCGACAAGCAACACTATATATGTTTTAAAAATACTAATTAGAATACCTGTACCATTATTTGATGTTGTTATTGTTGTTAGGTGCCATTGAGTTAATTCTAACTCATAGTGACTCTATCTACAACCAAACGAAACAAAAAGTCTTTGCTTTATGATCAAAAGTTATAGAAAAAGGGAAAATTTAAAGGCATTTTGTATAATTATTCTTTGGGAGGATAGTCTAGAGGGAATTGAAATCTATGTAGGAGTTTCTTGGCCAGGGTTAATCCATCAATAAGTCAGGGATCTGGGGAACCAACTAAAGTTGCATGGAACAATTTACATGTCTACACCTACTCCTCAATTATTGACTATCTCATTATCTGACATTTAGCATTTATGATTATAGTAAAAAATCTATTGACTATTTCACTCATTGACATACACCTGGCAGTAACAAACACTAAAGTGTGAGGAGAGAATAAGGCTACCTGTGATGGTTAAAGTTATGTGTCAACTTAGGTGGGCCATGATTCCCAGTGATTTGTCAGTTATGCAATGTTGTAACTTGGTAGTTATGTAATGACGTAGTCACCCTCCATTTTGTGATCTAATGTGGTCATCCTATATTTCACATGATGCCAGTTTTCACACAACAACCTGGTCTTTGGAACCTAACCTTGTCACTAAGTGAGGAGTGAGTGTATACATTTTTTTTTTTCATCAGATTCTTAATGATATCTTTATTCCACAAAAAACTAATTATATGAAATTATTCTCTTGGGTGAAGAAAACAAATAAAAGCATGTATTTTTATATAATTCATTTAACTGTTAAAATCACCAATGCTTACTAGTCATTTAGTCTTGAAGCCTGGAAAAAGACCAGTCTAAAAATCTGAAGCAAACAAGCAAGCAAACAAAAAACCCAAAAAAACCCAAAAATTTAAAAATCAACTGCTATCTTCTTGTTGGAACAAATTTAAAAAAAAAATATGTGTATTTTTTAGATATTACTTTTCTAACTTACCTGTAAGTATGTTTTGACACTCCCTGCCCTCTCACTTTCTTCTTATATTCTGGCACCTTGGGTAAACTCTCTCTTCTTCTTTTTAAAAGTTTTATTTATTTATTTATTTTACTGTGATTTGGGTAAAAGCTTATAGACTAAATTGGTTTCCCCTTCACTAATTCATACATATTTTGTTTTGTGACATTCATTCCAATCCCCACAATGTGATAGCCCTCTTTCCACTTCCCCTCTGTGTTTACCATTTCTCTGTCCTTCTTTCCTATACCTTCCTGCCTTTGTAACTTTATCCCTGGGCAAACGCTGCCGTTTTCATCTCATATAGCTGGTTGTTCTAATGCGTATGTACCTCCCTGGTATTCTTACAGGATGACTCAAAATATTGGTGATGATGGGGGTGGTGATGACAACACTTTCAAATTCAGTTGGATGGTGTTCACAAGCTGGGACTACCTGATTGGCAATCCTGAAACAGCAGACAACAAATTTAATTCTATCACAATGAACTTTAAGGTAAAGATACAAACTTCAAATGCATCTCCTTTGTATTTTTGAAGAACAAAATCAGAGCCATTCCATATGGTGTAGGTAGTGAAGTATCTTGACAATTAAAAGAATGACTTACTATTTCTGCCTAGCAAGATCTGTGTAGGGCTCTGTTTATGACTGGAAAATATCTGATGATTCATAACAGCACTCTTATCCCTCTAGGACTTTTCTTCTCTAAATTTGGTAATAAAATAATGCCAGTGGCTTGAAATATGAGACCATTAGTAATCAGAATCAGATATTTTGATTACTAGAACAATGCTCATTAATTATTTACTGGAAAAATTACCTCAATATTTAAAATGACTCTAAAGCATTATTTTGTAGACTTAAAAAAAAAGAAAGAAAAAAACCCAGCTATGTTGAAAGAGAAGGAGCTCTGGTGGTGCAGTAGCTAAGACATTTGACTGCTAACCAGAAGGTGGGCAGTTCAAACAACCAGCTGCTCTATGGAAGGAAGATAGGCCAATCTTCTTCAGTAAAGATTTACCATCTTGGAAATCCAATGGTGGTCATTATGAGTCAGAATTAACTGGAAGGGCAGTGTGCTTGGTTTGGGTTTTATGTTGAAAGACAGTATCTTTTACAATAACACCACCAGAGCTCCTAAAACTACCTTTGTTGTTGTGTTATGTGCCCTCAAGTGGGACCTGACTCATAGCGACCCCTCCTTAGGTTTCCCAGGCAGTAACGCTACGGAAGTAGATTGCCCAACCTTCCTTCCAAGGAGTGGCTACCTTAGTATTGGATAAATCAGAGTTTGATTACACGAATTCTTTCTTTCTCTCACTTACTGTCACTTGCTGGGAAAATTGACGACATTTAGTTTACATTTTCATTTCTCATATTCTGATGTTTGCCAAAATAATCCCTGACTTTATGATACTTTTTGTAGCTAAATACTCCTTTTCCTATTTTGTCTCTGTACAGGAAGCTATAATGGAAGAAAAAGCAGCCCAAGTAGAAGAAAACATCCACTTAATCCGATTCCTGAGGTTTCTTGCTAACTTCTTCGTGTTTCTAACGCTTGGCGGGAGTGGATACCTCATCTTTTGGGCTGTGAAGCGGTCCCAGGAATTTGCACAGCAAGATCCTGACACCCTTGGGTGGTGGGAAAAAAATGAAGTTCGTCCCTGCGTGCTTCTTATGTGCTTAGAACCTGACATTTGCTATGTTGTGGGTTGTGCTTCTGTGATGGAACATTAGAAAAGGCACTCTATGTATCTCTCCCATATACTTAACCAATCCTTTTGTGCATTTTCCATTCTGTTCCAATCTTATTTCTAAATCTGCCTACTGTGTGTTTTGTTTTTTTTAATTTTTGACAGTATGGAATGTTAGAGTTGGAAGAGGTCTTAGAAATATGTAGTCTAAGCCTGTATTTACAGATGGGAATGATGAATCTAAGCAGATTAGGTGATATGTTCAGGGTTAGGAGAGTGAAGGCTAGAACCTAGACCTCTCGATTTCAAGTCCAAGACTGTTGCTATTACCATCACTTACTTTCTCTATATATTCCATATCTGTCATTGAAAGACACAATTGTGACCTGAATTCTTTGAGACAGCTATGATAAAACCCTTAGTTCCTAAATAACTGAGTGTCATTATCACAGTAATTATGTTCTAAAAATGAGTCCTTTAGTGGAGCAAAGGGTTAAGTGCTCCACTACCAGCTGAAAGGTTGGTGGTTAGTACCCACCCAGAGGTACCTTTGAAATACCCACCCAGAGGTACCTTAGAAAACAGGCCTGGCAATCTACTTCTGAAGTGTCATTGCCTTAAAAACCCTATGGAGCAGTTCTACTCTGCACACATGTGTCCTCATGAGTGGAAATTGACTCCATAGCTACTAATATGGCAAATTGCAAATGTGGAATCTGTGAATAATGAGGATAGATCGTATTTAACTTGCCATCTCACTGGAAACTTTCAGAGTGCCTCCTCCACTTTGGGCAAGTATGGGCTTCTCCCTTTTTCACTATACCCTAACTGCACAGATCCACCTACCACCTCACCCTCTCTTTCTTCCCTCCCTCTCCAGACACAGTTCAAATAAGGCAGGCCAGCTTTTTGAGAATTGAATATTATGCTTGTTACGTATCTTCAGAGTATCTGCCCATTTAGTGGGTCAGAAAAAGGAGGTTAGAAGTAGAAGTTTAGATTCAGGAAATCATTGATCATGTGTTGTTGCTAGAATCTATTCTCTTTCTTAAAATGTTCCAGTCTACAATGCATCACGTTGAACTTGTGCATTTTCAAAATATGTGCAGATTTAGCCCGTGGGAAGTTTAGACACATCAAGAGATTTCTAGGATATATTATCACTGAAACTTCTGCAGAGCCTGTAGATCAAAAAACAGCTTTCTAAAGATAGAATTTCCTAGAAAAATCTTAGACAGAAAATGATAATAACTTTTTTTTTTTTTTTGAAAGTCTCCAAACACAAACAATCTAGGTATTTCAGAACTGGTTACCTGAGAGATGGGGAACCATACATTTTAGTCAATATTATCATAACCTACTCATACCACAACCCTATAGGACAGAGTAGAACTGCCCCATAGTGTTTCCAAGGCTGTACATCTTTATAGAAGCAGACTGCCACATCTTAATCTCCTTGAATGGCTGATGGGTTTGAACTGCCAAGGCAGCTGAGTGCTTTAACGATTGTGCCACTAGGCCAAAACCAAACCTGCTGCCATCTAGTCAGTTCTGACTCATCGTGACCTCCATAGGGTTTCCAAGGCTGTAAACCTTTGTGGAAGTAGGCTGCCTCATCTCTTTCTCCTATGGAGCAGCTGGTGGGCTTGAGCCGCTGCCCTTCTGGTTAGCAGACAGATGCCTTACCCACCGTGCCACCAGAGCTCCTCCAAATCCACTTACGGTAATCTTAAAGCAGAAAGTCATTAGGTAGAAGGATTTTATTTTTTAAAACCAAGAAAAACTTCAAGCATTAACTAAGTTTGTTGTCAAATTTCTCTTTTATAATTTTGATGATATTTATAAATTAATTGCATAAAATTATTATGCAACTTTTGTCTATGATTTATATTGATTGCTTGTTTAAGCAAAAGAATCATATCAAAGGATGGGTAGTTGATTATCATTTAAAAGAGTCACTCTTTGAAAGAAATTGTTTAACATCCTTCTTAGGAGACTCCTGAATCCTAGAGACCAAGAAAGATAAAAATGGGAGTTCATGGATGAGTTTACAAATTTAATGAACATTAATTTGAATTTACCTTATACAAGATTGCAGAGGATATACCAGGTTTTTTGTTTGGGGCTGATGTTATATCACGCTGACTTTATGTTATGACATGCTAATTTTTGGCTCTTGTTGGCTATACGTTCATAATGTTCTTAACTAATAAAATTGAGAAAAAAAAATGAAATTATTTTCTAAACATAATCTGGTAGTTCTAATTGTCCAACACACAGAAGTTGCAGAGGAAAATAGGAAATGTTTAGTGGTGAGATTTTGAGCCAGAAATTTAGGAAAAAGGGTCATCAGAGATACCTTAAATCTCTTTTCATTTAAAGACTTTTTATTTTTCTTTCTTTTTTTGCCTATTATAAATGTAGTACATGTTCTGGGTTTTTTCTTTGACCGAATTTAGCCTAGTACTATCATCATAAGGCTGCCAGACAACCACGAGATATGGACAACACATTTTTTCATTTTCCATATTTCCTTTTTTCCTCCTCCATCATTATCTTGGCTTTGGAATTTATAGACAAAGTCTTTGGTTTTTTATATTTACCTACCTTGGTTTCTATTGCATTGTATCATGTGTTTCTCCTTGTGCTTCTCTGAATGTCCTCTGTTTTCCTTGATAAAGTCCATGGCGTTTTTATGCTCTCAACATTTTGTACTCCTGAAAGCTCAGTGTGTGGTCCTGAGCCACTTCAGAGAACTTGTCCCACTCTAACTGATAAAACTAGCCAATATGCTGATGATTGTCAAATGAGTACTTCTACTTCTGACCTCATCCCTCGAGTAGGTCATCTGTCTTTTCCTTTGGACATGTTGCTATAAAATGCATCATCATATCAGAATCAGTACCACATTGAACAATGTGTGCTCTCTGGGTACAGAGTGATGTGAATTGGATCCTTCACTCTAACAGGAAACACTATTATTACTGGCACATACACAAACTCATGTATAGGTACTTCATGAGAATGTGAGCTGAATCTTTCTTTGTTGTTTTATTAAGATCAAACTATAAAAATGCATGAAATAATCTTCTTAAGTCTTGTAAAAGATCAAAGAGAACCTAGCTGAGAATCTTTCAGTATTCTAGGGGAAAGAAATACTTTAATTTTTTTTAACAGTTGTAAAGTAAAGTATATACATGACAAAAACTGCCATTTTAACCATTTTTAAGTGTATTATTCAATGGCATTAGCTACATTCACAATATTGGACAACCATCACCACAATCTATTTTCAAAAGTTTTCATCACCCCAAACAAACTCTGTATCCATTAAAAGCAATAACTTCCCATTCTCCCCTTCCTCTAGCTGTTCGTAACTTCTAATATATTTTCTGTCTCTAAAATTTTCCTACTCTAGAGATTCTATATAGGCAGAATCATACAATATTTTTCCTTTTATATATGGTTCATTTCACTTAGCATAACATTTTCAAGACTCATCCATGGTGTGGCATGTATCAGAACTTCATTTCTTTTTTTTTTTTTTTTTTTGCTGAATAATATTCTACTGTATGCATATAACTCTACTCACTAACTCACTGCCATGGAGTCAGATCCAACTCATAGTGACCCCTCCTTGTGTTTCCAAGGTGGTATCACTACGGAAGTAGATCACCCAGTCTTCCTTCTGAGCATATACTACATTTTACTTTCCCTTTCATCTGTTGATGGACACTTGGGTTGGTTCCACATTTTGGTTGTTGTGGATAACGCTGCTGTGAAGAAAGACATTTCAAATACCATTAATCTAGTTCATCCCTTGTGTTTCCTTATAGATGAACATGGTTATGTCCCTTCTGGGGATGTTCTGCCCAACTCTGTTTGATTTATTTGCTGAATTGGAAGATTACCATCCCCTCATCGCTTTGAAATGGCTACTGGGACGCATTTTTGCTCTTCTTTTAGGAAACTTATATGTGTTTATTCTTGCTTTGATGGATGAGATTAACAACAAGGTAATCCTTGTGTCTGGTTGTCCTTACCATTGGTATGTTGTTAAATTCCCAGTTTCAAATATTATAAAAAATGCCTTTGAAATGTCTGTTGTCTTACTTTTGTTTCCATCTCTTTGCTTTCTAGATTGAAGAGGAGAAGCTAGTAAAGGCCAATATTACTCTCTGGGAAGCCAACATGATCAAGGCCTACAATGAATCACTCTCTGGAAATAGCACTGGGCCACCTTTTTTTATTCACCCAGCAGATGTACCTCGAGGACCCTGCTGGGAAACAATGGTGGGACAGGTACTGCCACCAACAGAAGTGCATGACAATTTGTGGTTTAAAAAAGTAGAGCCAGTAGTTTTCTTCTAAACCAAACCAAACCAAACTCACTGCCGTTGAGTCCATTTTGACTCATAGTGACCCCTCCTTGGGTTTCCGAGGTGATATCTCTATGGAAGTAGATTGTCCAATCTTCCTTCTGAGGAGTGGCTGGTGGGTTTGAAGGGCCAGGCTTCTGGTTAGCCTTCAAATGCCTTAGGCACTATGCCACCAGAGCTCCTGAGTTTTTCCCTAAGTGTGGCCTATTATTGCTAACTAGTAAATTATAGCTAAGATTTCTTGAACATTTACTGAGTGCTCTCCCTGAAGGTGATATATATTATCTTGTGTAGTCCTCACACTCTTCCTTTGAGGTATTGTTTTTATACATGTTTTATGATTACGTATATAAGAAAAATAGTTTAAAACACTATGAAGAAATGTTTACTATTTATGCTTTAATGAATCACCCAAATCTAGGTACAGGTCAAAGTGAATATGTAAGTGGAACTTTATTTACTGTTATCTGTTTGCCACATTAAAAAAAAAAAAAAAAAATGACTCTTTTGGAAGCATACACCAATCCTAATTTTAATTATGCTGATTTTGTCCAATTATTTTCCCTTAAGCGTTAAAGGAAACACTATTTTAGGTTATTTGTTTCATGACGATTGTCTGAATGCCCCCAGCCCAGGACAAGTGATAATTTACCAGAGAAAAAAGAATGTTTCATTGGGCTTGTTGTTCAATGACAAAAACGAAACTAAAACAAAATAAAACACCCTGCTTCAAGTCTCTTGTTTAATACAGATCCTATTTGTGTTTTGAAAAGCCTGTAATTTTATTTCATTAGAATTGACATCATTAATCTGCATTTAATAAACTAATTTTGGGCTTTAGTTTATCACTGATGAACAGACTTTTTAAAATGTTGTAGAGTTTCTGCCTATTAGACACCAGTTTAGTTTCAGCAGCAATGTGGTCTGTTGTTGTTATGTGCCATCGAGTTAGCCCCAACTCATAGCGACCCCTCCTTGGGTTGCCGAGGCAGTATCACTATGGAAGTAGATGCCCAACCTTCCTTCCGAGGAGTGGCTGGTGGGTTTGAACCACCAGCCTTCTGGTTAACAGTCAAGTGCCTTAGGCACTGTGCTACCAGAGCTTATTTGAATAATTTTTACTATGTATTTATTTTTTGTAAGATAAAAGGAAAATTGAAAAACTAGTATTGGTCTTAAAAATTATAATATATAACTCACACCTGTGGTTTCCAGCCAAACAAAATACAGGCATATGAGTTGAACATTTACCTCAAGTAGATACATTCTTTGGAGAGAACAATCATGGGAGAAAGAAGGGCTGTTTATGCACAGGGAGACAGCTCAGGGGGCAGGAGTGTATGGAGGGATGGACACTGGGAAGAGGTAACTATGGGGAGAAAGTGGGAGGGGAGCTGTTGCACTGTGGTAAACTGTGGTCAATGACATGAGACAAAGTATATGTGAACTTCTGTATGGAAAGTGAATTTGCTTTGTAAATCTTCACCAAAATCACAATTTAAAAAAAAATTATAATTCAAACAAATATGGATATCTTTAGATGTCCTAAACCTCAATCAGATGTTCATCAGACTCAAACCAATCAACTGTGATTTTAATTGTGGAAAAAGGACAAGGAACATGTGTATGATACTGGAAGGAGCCCACTGTGGTAGCACAGTGGTTAAATGCTCAGCTTCTGACTGAAAGGTTGGCAGTTTGAACTCACCAGCTGCTGTGCAGGAGAAGAAATATGGCAGTCTGCTTCTATAAAGACTACAGCTTTGGAAATCGTGTGGGGCAGTTCTACTCTGTCCTTTAGGGTCATTAGGAGTAGGAATCAATTCAATGGCAATGGATTTTATATAATGTTAGACTTATATCATTGAAAATTGAGTCCAAAAATTATAGTATAATTAAATAATTTATTTTCCTTTATTTTTTTTAAGCTTACAGGAAACAGAAACACCCAGCTGCATGTTATTAAATATATGACATTCAGACATGCATATTTCATACATGTTTCTAGGAACTTATTATGTATGAAAATAAAGACACTTGCCTGCTAACCAGATGGCTGACGGTTCAAACCCACCAGCCACTCCTCGGAAGGAAGGTTGGGCAATCCTACTTCCGTAGTGATACTGCCTTGGAAACCCAAGGAGGGGTCACTATGAGTCGGGTTTGACTCGACGGCACATAACAACATAACAACAACAACAACCTTTAATAGAGAGGTGCTTGTAAATCAATGTATGGTAAACAGAATAAAGAACCTTCCCAAAGATATTCACATCTTAATCTGTGTAACCTGTGAATCTGTTAATTTACATGGCAAATGGGAATTTCTAGATGTGACTAAATTAAGAAACTTGAGATGGAGAAATTATCCTAGATTAGGATAATTGTCCAAGTGGACAAAATCATGAATCTGTATATGAGAAGAACATGAGAGTCACTGACAGAAAAGGGAGACATAGCAACAAAACCAGAGGTGGTGCACTTTGAAGATGGAACAAGGGGTCGTAGACCAAGGAATGCAGACCATCTCTGAAAACACCCATTGCTGTAGTGTAGATTCTGACTTATAATGACCCGTGTATGGTAGAGTAGAATTGCCTCATAGCAGGACAATGGTTAAAGCATTTGGCTACTAACCAAAAGTTCGTCAGTTAGAACCCACCAGCTGCTCTGTAGGAGAAAGATGAGGCAGTCTGTTTCCATAAAGAGTTACAGCCTCGAAAACCCTATGGGGCAATTCTACCCTGTCCCCTAGGGTTGCTATGAGTCAGAATCAACTCAATGGCAGTGGGTTTGGTTTTGGTTTAGTATTATTTATGTCCTATCTTTCTCCCACAGAGCAGCTGGTGGATTTGAACCACTGACTTTTTGATTAGCAGCCAAGCACTTAACCACTGCATGATCAGCACTCCTTAAGTCACCTCTAGAAGCTGGAAAAGTCAAGGAAATGACTTCTCCCCTGAAGCCTCCATTTTGATTTTAGATTTCTGACCTCCAGAAATGTATGAAAATAAGAATTGCTTTGTTTTAAGCCACAATGTTTGTGATAATTTGTCACAAAAGCAATAAGGAACTAATATGCAGGGATACATAGGTTTCAATGTGTCCAGATTCTTTGAAACAAAGTGTGGTCATAATATCTAATATGAGTCATTCTATCACTTTGAGGGTGCTCCCTAAATCTTCTATCAAAAGGTGTGATGAATGAAAAACTGTAAGGAGTACAGTTTTCACAAACTCAGAGTCTGAGAAATTCTGTTCTGTATATCTTACAGTAAGGGCTGGCATGAGGGCTAAGAAATCTACCTTCTAACAGGCATGCACCTATTACACAAGACTACTAAAACTAGCTGTAAAGAATATAATTTGAGCTGACTATGTTTGTGAATGGCGAAAGGGCTAATTAGATATGAATGAGGTTAGCTAGATATAAATGCCAATGCAATTTGAGAAAAAAAAAACAAACTTATGTTTCTGTTTAGGCAGAAGCTTCTTTTATATTTCCTCACATAGTGACTTAAAATAAAAGATGAAACCATTTATGCTTCCTCTTAGAAACCCTTGTCCATGCTGCTTGCCTCATCAGGAGGCATTGTTTTTTTTTTTTTTTAAATTCTGCCTCCAGTGATTTTCCATGCTTCATTATCTTTCCTTACTGCCATTTGTACTTGGATTTCTTCCTTCCCTTTCACGTCCCTTTCTCTACATGAGCATTAAGCATTGTGAGAAAGTCTGCAGGAGTCAGCCAGGGGGAAGGTGTTGTGGTTCTGAATGGGATGTTGATGAGCAGATGGAATCCATGAGAACAAAATGAGTACGTGGAATGTAACAACTATGAGAATTGGCAAGGAGTGGCCTTTAAGAGATCAATATCTATATCCATGCATCTAGAAACATTTCTATCTTTTAGCCACTTTAGAAATATTAACATGACTCCACAAGAAAGTAAAGGCAGCAGTGTTGCATATAGTATTGGGGATGCACCCCCAAAAGGCTCATTCTTTGTTCTATGAGGACACTCTTGATGTTTCCTCTTCTCTCCATGGATGCTATTCTGGTTACCTAGTGCCACTCTGACAGAAATATACCTCAAATGAGATTGCTTGACAAATTTATTCTCTTACAGTTCAGGAGGCTAGAAGCCCAAGTTCAAAGTGCCAGGCTCTAGGGGCTGTGTGAAAGCCCCTCGACCTTAGGCTTCAGCTCTGCCTCTTGCTCCCAGCCCACTGAAGCTAGAGGCATCTCTTTACTCAGGCAGCTACTGGCTGCTGAGGCTAATAAGCCTCCTCCACTCAAAAAAAACTTACTGCTGTCAAGTCAGTTCTGACTCATAGTGACCCCTCCTTGAGTTTCCGAGGTAGTATCTCTACAGAAGTAGATTGCCCAGTCTTCCTTCTGAGGAGTGGCTGGTGGGTTTGAACCACCAGCTTTCAGGTTGCCAGTTAAATGCCTTAGGCACTACACCACCAAGGTCGACAAATAAAATGGCACAGTCCTGATGTTACCAAACCAAATGGCAGGCCATTAATTCAGTCCATTGAAAGTCCCAGGGTCAGCAGAGCATGGCAGGCTGCTGAACAACAACATGGCTACATGCAGGGTTCAAGCATGCCATAAGCTGGAGGCCATTCCCAAAGCTGTTTCTTATTTATGGGAAGTAGACCACATACCCAAAGCTGCTACTCAGCTGCTCCTAGATTCCACCATGGAGTTAATTAGCAATCTCACCATGGGGAATAACTCGAATCAGGTGCCCAGCCACTCAACCAGGCCCAGCCAAGTTGACACACAAACATAACCACCACAGATGCCCTCTGCTCTGTTTCTTCTTATGGATATTTTGAGACTCAAAGCTCTCTTTATCTTTGAATATAAACTATTTGGCTGCTCCTTTGCCTCTTCAGGGATTCCTAAGAAGTAGTTATTTAGTCTCTTTTTCAATGGTATTTGGCAGGCAGCAGAGCCATGTTTTGGGGACAGTTATTTTAAAACTATATACTAAGGCCTGCATCAAGTCCCTGGTTGGCACAAGTGGTTGAATGGCAGGCTACTAACCAAGAGGTTGGAGGTTTGGTGTTTGAGTCTGCCCACAGGTGCCATGGAAGAAAAGCCTGGTGATCTACTTTTAAAAGATCACAACCACTAAGAATCCTAAGGAGCACAGTTCTACCCTGAGACACATGGGGTTTTCATGAGTCAGAATTGACTTCACAGCAACTAGCTTTTTTGGTTTACCCAAGTGTACACTTTGGGGAAGTAAAGAAACCAGCCAACAGATGAAGGTAATAAAAAAATAGCTAACATTTATTGAATGCTTCTAATGTACCAGGCATTAGCTCACTGAATTTTTAAGTTACCCTCCAAGATAGGTCTTATTATTATTGTCTTATTATCCCCATTGTTTACAGGTTAGGAAGCTACAACTTAGGAAAGCAAATTTGCTCAAGACCTCACAGAAAGGTAATAACAAGAACCTAAATTAACCTACCTAGTCTCATCATAAGAAGCCCTGGTGGCTCAATGTTTAAAGTGCTCAGCTGCTAAGCAGAGTGTCAGCAGTTCAAACCCACCAGCTGCTCAGTGGGATAAAGATGAGGCAGTCTGCTTCCATATAGATTTACAGCCTTGGAAACCCTATGGGGCAGTTCTACTCTGTCATACAAGGTGACTATGAGTTTGAATCGACTTGACAGCTGTGGGTTTAGTTTTGGCTTAGTCTGATTATAGAATTTGACTCCGTGGCTACAGCACTTCCCAGAAATAAGTTAACATCAACATCACATTCCTGCCTTGGGACATCTATAATCTATGGTATCTTTGTAAGCATCTTGACTATTCTTTTTTTTTTTTTTTTTTTCACATTTGCCTATTAATGATTCCCTTAGGTTGACTGGTAAAGCTGTCATGGCATTTAAACTTAATGTCATGAGTGTAAAGACATTAGGTAGGGAGTGTGATGATCAACAGAAGGCTTAGGTGGAGACAGTGTTTCTACCCTGACTAGCACCAGGAACTGGGATTGGACAGTGTCCTCAATGCCAAGGCTGCCATTTTTGGCATTGCCCTTCCTCTTAGGGCATGGGAGATATTTCTACTGGTATGGCAATAAGTATTTAAAAGAATTAAAATAATGTTTGAATCCTTTTGTGATGTTTGATGGTGGGACACTGCTAGGGAAAGAATAGAATTTCAATCATTGAGTGAGGATACTAGGAGGAACTAAAAGACTTCAAAATCACACTGAAATATTATTTTACCTGAGCAAGTGTTCCAGGCCTGGCAGGAGAAACCTGAACATATCCTTTATAGCCCATTTCTAATTGATGTTTTGGTAGTTACTGGAATTGAAACTCAACATTTCCTGGGGAATGAAAAAGTGACTAAGGGTAAGAAAGAGAAGAGTTATGTCTAGAAAATATTGCACTAATTTACTATTATTAATTAATTCAATGTTTATCGAATTTGTGCTAAATGTCGGGTATTGTGCTAGAATACTAGAGATATAACAGGGAACAAAGATGGACTGGTGCTTTGCCTTTGTGAAAATTACAATCTATTGGCAAAACAAAGCCGTTAATTAAGTAATTACACACAAATTGCAAAGTTATGATGGTAAAAAAGCACTACAGGATGAAATACATGGTTCTCTGAGAACTTACTACTGAGGGCCTTTCCTTGCTCAGGGAGGGGAGGGGAGGCTTCCCTAAGTCAGTATATTGCTGTTAGATGTTGTGGAGTCGGCTCCAACTCATCATGACCCTGTGTACAACAGAATGAAACACTGCCAGGTCCTGTGCCAGCCTCACAATCCTTACTATATCTGAGCCCATTGTTGCAGCCACTGTGTCAATCCATCTTGTTGAGGGCTTTCCCCTTTATTGGTGGCCCTCCACTTTTTGTAGAAATGTGTATTAGTTGGCATAAAGTGAATCAAGAGATGGGTAAGTGTGAAGATTGTGTGCAAAGGTCCTGTGTGATCTGACAAAGCATGGAATCTGAGGGCCTGAAAGAAGGCCAGTGGTACTGGAGCAAAGATAAGGGAAAGAATGGTACAAGATAAATGTAGAGAGAGGAGTCCCTGGATGGTGCAGTTAAGTGCTCAATTACTAGCCAAAGTTTTGAAAATTTGAACGCACTTGGAGTTCCCTCAGAAAACAGGCCTGGGGCTCTGCTTCCAATAGGTCACAGACTTGAAAGTCTATGTAGCAATTCTACTCTGCATACAGGAGGTCACCATGAGTTGGCATTGACTTGATGGCAACTGACAAAAGCAAACGGGAGTCAGATTATGTAAAACTTCTAGGCCTTCTGAAATCTTCACTTCTTTGCTCCAGTTGTTCCAGCAAAAAACTATGTGTAAATGTTCCCTGGCAACATCTCAATTCACTGCACTCATTTTTTCAGCTTTTGCTTAGCTCTTCTCTGCCATTACCAAGTGGAATGTCTGCAAAAACCTATTTGGCCTGTTTGATGTCTCTGTAAACCTGCAAGTATAAAAGCATTACTACCCTCAAATGGCCACCACTGACAAGTGGAAATGGGGACAGATAAATCCTTACCTCCCCTACTGCTTGACTTTGAAATTCTGAGACTTATTCTATATGGTTTTTAAGTGAGACACCGGAAGGACCAAGACCCATATGCCCCAGCAATGAAAGAGTTTATCACACCCTCGGGATAAGGCTTTCTCTGCTTCCCTCTTTCATTCTTCCTAATCCTCACTCTTCTTCTTTGAGACCACTTCCCAAAATATTCTACCTGCTTGCAAGCCCTTGTAACAGGATCTACTTTTTGTGGGAACCAACACTAAGGCAATGGTTATTTTTCAATGTAATAAGTTTTATGTTTTTATTATATTTATCTTACTGTTAACATCTATTTAAGACAGATGATATACAGTTTCCATTTACAATAGTAACAATTATCTTTTAAAAATGAAGTAGATTCAAATTTACGAAATATTAGATAAATAATATTCCAGATAGTACTTGGACATGAGTCATGAAGATAGTACATGACTATCTGGAGGCTGGGGTCACCATTCTGAAGTATGAGGTTGGAAATCAACCTACAGACTACTTGTTAAATGGTTCTATTTCACAGAAGATAATTCTTTCTCACTATCTATTTTAGAAGTGAAGCTATATAAAAATCCAAAGACATCAAAATCCAAAGAATTCCTATATTATAGAAGAGAAGTAGTATTGCTGGCAAAATATGTTTGTTAGATGTTCAGTGTCTTAAGTCCTGGGACATGAATTATTAAGAAGGAAGAGAAAAAGAAGAGCAAAAGTGAACTCTCATGATGGAAATGTTTATTTATATGTCCATTTTTGTATTATTGCCTGATGTCATACAAATTCTTTGAGGAATAGTGACTGTATTCTCTAACCCACAGAACACACCTGTAAGAACATAAATGAAGTAACTTATTTCTGTTTTTCTAGGTATTCTCTATACATATGCATATATATATTATGCATATACATATATGTATATATACATATTAATTTTTTAACAAACTAATTCATACCATATATGAATTAGAAATAATTTTCTTATCAAAGCATTTTAGCAGTTTTCAAACAGCTTTATTAAGACATGCTTCACATACCATAAAATCCACCCATTTAAAGTGTACAATTCAGTGGTTTTTAGGGTATTTGTTAGTAGTGCATCCATCAGCACAATAGTCCCCCACTTTTTTTTAAAGAGCTCACAATATACCCTTGTGTGGATATCCATTTTTATTTAATTCATATTTTCTTGAGCACATTTGAAGCCTTTCCAATTTTTACCTTGAAGAAACAATACTTTTTGTAGTTGTACATACAGATTTGTCAACATGTGTGAGTATTGCTGTAAGATAAATTTCTAGAAGTGCATTTCTTTGATCAAATTTCACACACTTTAAAATGTGATGGATATGGACAAATTTCTCCCCAAGTGTTGTGCCAGTTTAACTTCCCTAGTAAGTTATGACAAGACCTAATTAAACACATCCTCCCTAGTATGGATAAAGACAGATTTTAAAATAGTTATTACTCTGTGAGGTAAAACTCATTGTTACCATTTACAATTTTATTATGTGTGAGTTTAATTTTTTCAGTGTTTTAATTTAGTGTATATTTTCTTCTGTGGATTTTTAATTCATGTCATTTGCCATGTTTTCTCCTACTGCTTTGTCTATATATTTTTATACTGATTTGTAAAAGCTTTTTGTGTGTGTTTATTAGGAGCATTAATCTTCTGTCAAATATAATGCAAATGTTTGTTTTCAAGTTTATCTTTTAACTTTGTAAATAGTCTTCTTTGCCAGATAACCGTTTAAACTTTTGTGTTGTCAATGTTTTCCTATCTGTTTTTGGTTCATGTATCAAGTTTATAAAAATGTCTTACTAAGAATATGACTTTTGGTACAGTGATTTAGGAATTCAAAATAATTATTTTTTGACAAATACATAGCAAAAGAGTTTTGGTGTATTAGATATGCCGTAGTAGTTTCTTTACCTTTAATTGCAGTCTTCAAACTTAAAATTTAATTTATATACTTTTTTAGTAACATTACATGCTTGGTACCAATACTAGGACCATTTGAAGAGAGAATTAGATGGTTTAACAAAAACAATCTCTCAACAGGAATTCGTGCGGCTGACTGTTTCTGATGTTCTGACCACCTATGTCACAATCCTCATCGGGGACTTTCTCAGGGCATGTTTTGTCAGGTTTTGCAATTATTGCTGGTGCTGGGATTTGGAATATGGATATGTAAGTATATTAATTATTTTCTTATTGAGTCATTTCTTTGGGAGTCATCATTTAAATATACCAAACAAGAGAAGATATCTCAAATTTTGGGTATGGGATCTTTTTCTTTTTAGATATCAGTAAGTGAAGACCAATGAGCACAGTTATAATGGACCAGAGGTCAGCCTTGAGTATCATGGCTTACAGCATTCCAGTAATATCCGCACTGGTTTGCCTAGATGCTAAAGCAATGGACTTCAACCAGTTAGTTAAAATGCTGAACTCAGTAAATTTTGGATCCATAGTCAGCTCCCTTCCCATGCAGCTTGTTGGTATTTCTAGAGACAGGGCAAGATGGAGAGTATTAACTATACATCTTATTAATTCCTTTGGCCTTTACTAAACATACTCATGGACAATGATTATATATCAGTTACTGGACAGTATATTGGATGATGTAAAAGATTCAATGAACATTGTACTTGCTTCATAAAACTCATAAAAGCTCTGAAGAAGCACTGTAGGAGGCTCTGGAAGTTTCAAGGAAGGCCCAGTGAGTCTGTTGATCAGAGTTCTGCCAAGTGGTGGGGCTGAATTCTGGCAGCGGTGGCTTCCTTTCCTGTGACAATAGCTCATGTTTCTCTGGACCCTGATGGCTCTGACTCTAATACTAGCTCTCTCTCTGTGCTCAACCTGAGGACCCCCATAAAGTTTGAGGGAAACTGCAGAGCAAATGTCACTCTATGATCTAACACATCTCCAGGCTTCCACCTCTCCTCTTTTGCAAATAAAACTGACTCCAGTTATCTTGGAGAAATAGCACCTGGGAATGACATTATTCATTTGCTTAAAATCCTTCAAGAACTTCCCAAGCATATATTTTTAATCTCTTTCTATAGCCTTCAAAATCCTACATGAGCTGTGTTTTTCTTTCTCCCTGATCTCATCTACTATCACTTTGCCCTTGCTTGTGAAGTCCAAAATTCCACTCTGAAGCTCAGTCGCATTGGACCTTACATTTGTACTAGCTGTTTCCTCTAGGGGCTGCTGCCCTAGAATTTGACATGGCTGATTCCTTCTTCTCATCAAGGTCTCAGCTAACATGTTACCTCCTAAGAGGGCTTCTCTGACCGGTAGGCACTCTTTACTTCAACACACTGCTTCATTTTCTTCAGAAGACATAACTGTTTCTTTCTCAAAGTGTTAAATTTTATTGTCTGTTTCCCTCTGTTACAATGTAAGCTCTATGAAAGCAGAGCCCTTGAGCCTTGCACTTAGCTGTGCTTGTCCCATGGTAGGTGTTATGTACACACATATTGACTATCTGATTGAGTATTGAGCCTCCACAGTCTAGCACCATCAAGGCAGCACCACCTATTGACATTGACAGACTCCGTCTCCCTCAGGGCTGTGCCAGTGTGGTCTAAGTTCAGCTTAATGCTCATGTACCAATGTCATCTTTTTTCCTTACAATGGAAGAATATCCTTTACTGCTGATAATGCTCCTTGCCATGCCGTCTAATCTCTGGAGAAGTCCTACATTCAAGGTTTTCAAGACCCTAGACTAGATATTCTGCTTGGCTAGCTGACTTTGAGGTCATACCATTTATGAGGTCATCTCTATTACGCATACTGAGAATGCCTCTCAGACTAGACGAAGGCAGTTAGGTAATGCTCTTTGGTAAAGACAGTGAGGTAATGCTGTAGATTCAGCATGCTGTTGCATTGCTTTCCCTTTCCTGCTGTGAGGTATTCAGCTGGCTCAGTTTCATTTCTATTTCTCTTACCTGATTCAGCTCTTCTGAGGCAGCCATACAAGTTGCCATTGCATTCTAGACAATTGCTTGGCTTTAGCTTGCCTTTTTTCCCTTGTTGGTTTCTTCTTAAGTGGTAGAAAATTTGCTGCAAATATGAAGTCAATATAACATGACCTGGATGCATAAAAGCTATAATTAAATGACTGTAATTTATTATTTATTGAGTGCTGACAGTACTCTTGAGTTAGGACAAAGTACGGGGGGGGGGAGGGGAGGAAAGACAAGTTGTTTTAGATCAAAGAGAAAGAATTTTCTTCCATGTTACCTTTGGGGAGAAGATCATTATCACAACACATTTTAAAACGTTAAGATTAGAGTATGGCTCTTTTATGTGGAGCCTATTGTTATTGACCCACCCAGAGGAAAGCTCACATGGTCGAGTGCCTAATAGGTGCAAAACCATTAAGAATATAACTCTGTGCTAGGAGATAAAAGGATATTAATATGGAGAATATGTAATTCTAAGGAGAGGTTGAAAACTTGAGCCTGCAGGCTAGAATCTGTTTACAGATATATTTATGTGTGTGTGTGTGTGTGTGTGTGTGTGTGTGGTTTGGTCTGCTCAATGATTTTGTTTGTTTGGTTTGCTTTTTGAATACACTGTTATTTAGAAGCTGGGCACGTTTACATTAAGAAAATATGAATTTCTTGTGTTTCATTGCCTTTTCTGATGGAACATTCTGTTTGTCATACTCTTTTCTTCGCCACTCCTTTCTCTTACAAACTCCATTGTTAATGAAGGGCAGAAAGTGTAAATGCTATGTTGTTGTTGTTGTTATGTGTCGTCGAGTCAAACCTGACTCATAGCGACCCCTCCTTGGGTTTCCGAGGCAGTATCACTACAGAAGTAGGATTGCCCAACCTTCCTTCCGAGGAGTGGCTGGTGGGTTTGAACCGCCAGCCGTCCCGGTAAATGCTATGTTGTTGTTGTTGTTATGTGCCATCGAGTCGGACCCGACTCATAGCGACCCCTCCTTGGGTTGCCAAGACAGTATCACTACGGAAGTAGATTGCCCCATCTTCCTTCCGAGGAGTTGCTGGTGAGTTTGAACCACCAGCCCTCTGGTTAGCAGTCCAGTGCCTTAGGCACTATGCTACCAGAGCTCCGGGTAAATGCTATGTTGTTGTTATGTGCCATCGAGTCAACCCTGACTCATAGCGACCCCTCCTTGGGTTTCCGAGGCAGTATCGCTACGGAAGTAGGATTGCCCAACCTTCCTTCCGAGGAGTGGCTGGTGGGTAAATGCTATAGGAGAAGCTAATTGCTATGGGACTATTAGACTCTTTTGTAGGAATACAAAGACGTAATGGAGGGGAAGGCATTTGAGCCGAGCCTTGAAGGATGAGCAAGATTTCAAAAGGTTGAGGTGGAGGAAGCTCTGGTGGAGGGTTTGATGTAAAACAGAGCCCAGAAGCTGGAAAGCATGGGCAGTGTAAGCATAGATGCCAAAATCTGACAGGGAGCTCTTTTAGGGAAGAGGCAGATGAGAATGTTTCTCTGATCATTCTTCTTAACTGACTTGATTTTTTTTCCTTCTGCTCTTAACTAATAAATTATATGGATTTGGAAAATGTTTGTCAGGAGGCAAAGGAGAATCTGAGATTGGCAGAGGTTGATGACTTTGAGAATCCTCTAAGGAATAAGAGAAAAATGTGGCCATTCTACCACCAAAAAATTATATTGCTTATTTTTATAAATATAAAAAATAATAGCAACTCATTGTAGAAAATTTAGAAAATGTAGTAAAGCAGAGTATAAAAATAAAAATGACACACAGGTAATTCCAGCACTAATGAGACTGCTAATTTAGATGGTTTCAATCATATACTCATAAATATATCTCTATATAAATACTATATAAAAATGTGAGTATACCCATATATATGCTTATATATAGATATGTGTATGTATATGTGAATATATGAATATGTGTATCTACACATAAATATATATATATGAAAATAAGCATACTTACTACTTAGTTTTTTTCACCTAACAGTGATCATTTCCTCATGCTATTACCTGTTTTTTAGAGCATAATTTTTAAACAAATGTATGAATTGTACATATGTATATATTGTAATTAACTTTTTCTCATTGTCAGTTAAACTTCTCTAATTTTTGTCATTATAATAAATGTTGTTATATTTATATCCATGTAGATAAATATCCTTGTAGATAAATCACAATTTTTTTAAAATGATAAAAGTTCTTTAAGTTGAATTACTAGGTCATAGAGAAGGTACTTTTTAAAAAGGCCTTACAGTTTTATTATAACAACCTCAGTAAAAACTAAACTTTTCAGACTCTCCAGCATTAGATTCGGAGACCTATGGTATTTTAAAGTTGGATGGATTTTTTTCATAATCATTCATGATGTCTTTATTTTACCTATGAAAAATTGATAGTCTCTGAATTGTAAATGTGGGAACTCTGGTAGCATAGTGTCTAAGGCATTTGACTGCTAACCAGAAGGCTCGCAGTTCAAACCCACCAGCCACTTCTCGGAAGGAAGGTTGGGCAATCTACTACTGTGGTGATACGCTTCAGAAACCCAAGGAGGAGTTGTTATGAGTCAGGTTCTACTTGACTGCAGTGAGGTTTTTTTTTTTTTTTTTTTAAGTTTATATATATAAGGAGCTCTGGTAGCATAGTGCCTAAGGCACTTGACTGCTAACCAGAAGGCTGGCGGTTCAAATCCACCAGCCACTCCTCGGAAGGAAGGTTGGGCAATCCTACTTCCGTAGTGATACTGCCTCGGAAACCCGAGGAGGGGTCGCTATGAGTCGGTGCCGACTCGACGGCAAATAACAACAACAACAACAACAAGTTTATATATGCCCTGGTTACACAATGATTAGGTCCTCAGCTGCTAATCAAACCTACCAGTTCCTACACAGGAGAATGGCTTGGCAATCTGCTCTCATAAAGATTGCAACGTAAGAACTCTATGGGGGGGAGGGGGGAGTTCTACTCTGTCCTACAGAGTGGCTATGAGTTGGAATTGACTCAATGGCAAACAACCACAAAAAATTTATATAGTCATGGAATAATTAAGGACAAAATCTGGAAAAAATATATTATGTTAACCAAAAACCAAACTCACTGCCATTGAGTCAATTCTACTCATAGCGACACCTCATTGGGTTTCCTAGGCAGTATCTCTATGGAAGTAGACTGCCTAATCTTCCTTCTGAGGAGTG